GTACGTGATTTGATTCACGCGTATGTTTTACAGGTTGGCGAGCACTCTAATTATATTATTCTGTACACTGTATACCTATTTAATATTATTGTGATGTCATCATCACATATCTATCAAAATCGTATTAGTAGGTCATCACTGCGGACGCGAATGTGGTGCAAAAGCGTATTATATAGGACAATAGTCAATAATATTATGCAGAACCAGAATTATTAATATACAATATTATTTATTATATCATGAACTGCAGGGAATAATGTATAATACGGAACACAGATAGGATGTAAAACATCATCGGATACGTCTTGGTCATTTTTCTAGTATAATATTTGTGGCATGTTTTCATGATTTTTAGTGCGTATTATGTATGACATATCTCGATACTTTTTAGTGCACAAAAATCCGTGCTCTAATTATATAAACAATAATCAAATATAACTAAAACGCCGTAAATCGTATTATCTGTAGTCTATATAAAAACACGTTTTTCTCAAAATCTTTCTACGGTGACTTACGGCCATGCTTTCGGTGTTACGAAGGCAGTAAGATGGTATACGGTATGTAAAACCTAGTGCGAGTGCCAATCTGTTTTTAAACTGTCCATTTCCAAAAATATGTTGCCGTTCTGTACCTATTATGAAAATGTACGTGCATTTATCGAGTTGGAAAATTTACAACGTTTAAAATAAGTTATCGAAATGGGCGCCACAGAATTTAACACTTTATGTATATACGTCATGCGTATGACGTTTTGTTAAACGTTTCTTTTAGTTATGTTTTATTTTATTTTTCAGATGTTTGTGTAATTCGTTGTATATAGTCTTGAAATGCATGATTTTGTGTATATTCTTAAAACTTATATCAGTATACAGTGTGTAACAGAAGAATCTTTTATATGTTTCATTTGTCATATCTTTCTGTTACACTCTGTATATATTCCAGRAATGAATAACATGAATATGTCCTCAAGGTACATCACGATGGATTAATACAGTTGGATTATTACAGTGACATCAAGAGCGAAATAAAATGTTTAAAAGTACATTTTATAATTTTCATAATTTTATCGTTAATATGTAAATATTGTTTTTTTTTTTTTTTTTACAAGACACAAGTTGGTCGCCCCTGGTACATACCACCTACTGTAATGGTACATATTATATACATTCTGCACGTAGTGCGAGTGTATATACCTGCAGTATTGTGCAGTGTCTAGAAAAAAGTATATAAACATCATATCGCAGGTGATGATGATATGCGCATGTATAATATTAAAATATTATGTTATTTAGCGTTATTTTACGTAACTGCTACACGTGAAGGCGAAAGATTATTAATGCGTCACCTGCAAACGTTCCCGTTCAAAACGTGCACATAGGTAAGTGCTTGGTATTTATTATGTAGGCACCTATCTATGATGTACATATATCATGTACAAGTACGTTTAAACTGCGATGGTAACCCAACTAACCCATCGCAGTATTCGAACGCGTTCAGCACACCTGTTAAAAATATATTATACTAAATAGATATTTATGTAAATATAATGTAATACGCGCGAAGAGAAAAGAAATATTGTAATTCGATTATGCACACGTATAATGAATTAAGCGTAGTCGATTTTTTGTTGTTTTTTTTTTTTTTGCACAGTATAAATTAATAACTATTAAAGCGTTATAAATTTATAATAATAGCGACGAGTACAATTACACTATATTTGTTGACTTTTATATATTTCGATAGCTTATGCATAACCTGCTTCGTACATATTATACAGGGCGATTCAACAAGTTTGCTCAACCCATTTTTTCTTTAATATAATGAAGTTAATTCGTAATCTGGTTTTTGGAATATTTAAAATATACTCAAAGATTACATTTTCAAATTCTCGAGATTTTTTTCGTACCACTTAATGAGCAGTGTCCTGTGGCGATACAAACTTTTGTTTTTCAAACGAGTAACGTTTATTAAACCTTTAATTTTTTGAGGGAATCTTGATGTACCGATTGAAATCATTAGATTTCAATGAAACGATTTTTGAGGACTATTATTCTCGGTACGAACATTTTGATAACCAGGATCCTCAAAATCCTCAACAAAAAAATATCCGCTAAATAATTTACATTAAAAACGAGGAGGGGTGGGGGAAGGGTTTTAATTTGAAAAACAAATGTTTGTATCGCCACAGGACACTCCGTAAGTATATAGTACAAAAATCTCAAGAATTTTAAAATACGGTCTTTGAGTATATTTAAGGACTCCAAAAATCAGATAACGAATCAACTTCATTATATTATAATAAAGAAAAAAGGGGGTTGAGCGTGTTAGGGAATTACCCTGTATAGTGTCTATATTATTTAACTATACGAACATTAAAATTGACATTTTGTCGTAAATTTTTTTGTTTGTTTCATTCGTGCCGCCGACCGTTTGGTTCAGTAAAGTCACTGTTTCACGGGAGTTTATATATAGGTACACACATAAGCATTATATATATGTATGCATAAGTCGTCGATGTACACATAAAATAATGTTAATTGTCATTGCGGCAAAGTTTTTGATTACAAACGGCTCAGCGACATGTGCAAACAACTTACTAACAATAATCTATATTATTACTATTATATTATACGATCGACGGTCGTGTAGTATAATAGAATATTATATATTATAGGCGTATAATAATATAATAGTGTCGCGAATTAATGCTATTCCGACAAAATTAAAACCAAATACACATTATTATTCGAGTATGGCACACGTTCTCTCTATCTCTCTCTTTTTTCGAGTATATATTATACATCATTAGCCATGTCAAAATAGTAAATAACATTAATATTTATAGGTACATCAAATGCGTGTTTGGGTAAATTTAATTTATTATGCACCTCCCTAATAACAACTGTAACTATACATAATATGTACATGTCATAATATTATATATATACCTACTGAAACTACTACTATATATACTAGAATTGACTATATATTATCGCTTTATTACCGTTATTATTATTATAGTTCAGGGGTGGCCAAACGGTCAGTACAATTTCAAAGCCGATCGTGTTATAATTTATTCGAAGCAGTGTCTTCGATTAGCAGTCGGCAACTATATTCGCATGCAAAATTCGTCAACGAAATGCAATGTCACACTTCAACAACGCCCGCCTGATCGACAAACTAATTTGTCATAATCGGACTCGAGTAATTAGATTTTAGAAATTATTTTTTTATTATTATATTATTTTTAGTAATTTGTAATCAGTTTATGACCCTTGTTGTGTATAATAATATAATATGTTTACATTTATACAAGTATGTTTCTTGATAATTATATTTACATTCGATGATGAAAAAAATGCTCTATGGAAGTCCGTCCTCAAAGGTCAAGAATATTTTTAATAGAACGCGCAGACCACAAAAAAGTTTGGCCACCCCTGTTATAGTTATCATACGGGTACAAAGAGCGGGCACGAAATAGTCATAATTAGGGCGTGGATTTAAAATGTTATATGCAAATCGCATTTTTCCCCCGATGAGACTCGGCGACGGCGGCGGCCAGCAATCCTAAGTCCTAACCGTCACCGCTCAAAATCGTTTTTCTGTACATACTACAATAATCTAAATTCGCATTATTTTTATCAATCCAGGCGCGAACTAACAGAATTCTATTTTGGCGATGAACCGAAACCATCATCAGCTGCACTGTTGCTGTACATATAATATATAATAAGCAAGAAATATCACATCGTTTTATTAACTTCAAATAACCGTATACTATGCAGTGCAATATTCGTACAAAAAGTTAATATTACGTTAAATATTATGTAAGCTATATTATATACAACGCCAAAAATGGGAGGAAAAAGAAGGCAAATTACTTATCTGAAGATTTTAATGCTGTCTTATGATGTCTTTTCGTGTGATTTACGATTTCAGTAAGTACCTATGCCCATAATTTGTAGTTTTAAAATTAATATATTTGATAATTTAGAATTGAATGTTAAATGAATATGATCAACATATGCGCGAATTGGAGGGCCTTAGGGGATATTAGCATTCCTAACTTTAAAATTAGCACCTTCAAATACTGTTCGTGTTTATGTATAAAAACTTCACATAAAAAAAAAAAACTAATGTTTTAAAAATAATGACTTCTTAATGTTAATTAAAACTACGGTTCTGTAATATTTTTGGAAATATTTTCATTTCAAAACGTTGTTTATAACCAGTGACTAAAACCCTTAATAAATAAATAAATATTATTGCAGAACGTGACGTCAATCGTGAGGATGATGCGAATCTATAGTGGTGGCCAAACCATAATTATAATGAGGTGAAGGATTATGTATTTATTATATGCAAATTGCAAGTATATTAAGTTGAATGTTTAACAAATTAATTTAAAAAACAAAAAACATAGCAAAAGATGGCATTTAAAAGTATATTATGTTAATAGTTATTTACAAGTAATGCATGTACTGCGTAAATAATAGGATACATAATTGTATTGGTACTTTTTGTGTAAAAATACTTACGAACAAAATTACTGAATAACCCAATTGCATATTTGATAATTAATGAAAAAAAAAATTACATTTACAATTATAATATAATATAATCGACCTATATTATTTACACAATAAATTTGATTAAATACATAACATTATTACCATCGATTGACTAATTCATTATGATGACATAACATAACAAATATTATATTTATTCCTAAAATATCTTTCGGAGATATTTAAAGTTTTTAGATTTTAAGCTCGTATTATTTTTACTTACCCGAATAATATAAATTATAATCTTAGGTAGTGTTATTTTATTGCATATAGGTACAATACAGGAATATCGATTAGTGTGCTTACCGAAAATTATGATAACATGATCTAAAAGTTCAAACATTTTTTTCTTTATCTGACCCATTATTGACTAAAATTAAAATTTTCCCTAACTGTTAACACAATCAAACTTTAAATTATTGTTTAAAATTTTAAATCTAATTTAAAGAGTAAATCAATGTTTTTGAACATTGTCTTGAAAAAGTCTCGATCATAATATTTTGTGTCATCAGTTCATCGCCTAATCCAGCTCTCAAACTTTTCAGCCCAAGTCCCAGGTCAACTCCAGACGTAAGCCCTCCTCAAAAAAATAATTTTAATAGCGATTATTATTGCGCACATTTCACTAATCTTTTTCTAACCTACCAATACAATGTTGATTTTTAAAATTGTCTTGCGCCCCCCTCCCCCTATAAAGCTTTCACGACCCCCTGGAGAGTCGTGTCCCTGCACTCTTTGAGTACCTCTGGTCTAACCCATGTATAATGTATTGCTGCTAATGCTGCGTGAAGCTAATAAACAGTTTGTCGAGGAGGAAAGTCGTGATTATAGTAGGTATAGGTAACTACTACATATAGGTAGAGGTAGATACATAACATTAATACATATATACAACTCTAATGACTATAACACTTTGTTTTATCTAAATTCTAAATATTTATACTATCTCCATTCGCCATTCAGATGCGTATTAGTGTACTTAAAACTATACTAATATGTTATTAAATGCATACGCGCGCAACACGGTTTTCACTGCATCACGTCGGATAATATACATTTCATACATAATATAATATATATATATATATATATACACATATATATATGCTAGCAAACAGTGCAAACTGCAGCTGCAGTGGCGAGTAAGTGGTCGTTACCGACGCAGTAAATAACATTATAATATTATGCCATTACTGGACCATCGACGACGACGTGTGATCGACGGACATCGGCACATGCAAAACCTCATCATCGTCTTCGTGCATATCCGGCCGGATACGCCTGCGCCGGCTGGAACGGTTGCTGAAATTGTTGCTGGTGATAACCGGCGCCTGCACCGGAAGCTGGCTCGTTCCGCTGCTGCCGGTCGTACAAGATGTCCCTGACCACCTGCTGTTCCCGGCGCTCGTGCTGTCTGCCGTCCAATCCCAGGCCGATGCGTTCGATCAACCTCTCGGACTTGTCGCCGTGCAGCGCGACGAACTCGTGCGTCCGACGGGCACTCACGTTCGGGTCGAACGGCCATGACTGCTGTCTGTGGAATTCCGCCGTGCCCAGCACGTTGTTTTGGATGAGCGAGATGATACCCGCTTGGACCGCTGGAGCCTGGAGCAGCGTCGCTAAGGTGGCAAACGCCTACAGTACCCAACAAAAACAACAACATCAATAGTAATATTAATATATAAGTAGCAATATTATACTATAGTATAATACTATGTAGCAGTGGTATTACCAAACTGCAGTGCACCGCGGTGCACTTAGGTGCATGGCACCCACAAGGGGAGGGGGTCAAGAGATCCCACGGTACTGGGGCCCGAATTTTGGAGGGACCCGGCGTTCAAGCGACAAGCAGATAATTACTTCAATATACGAATAATAGCAAAGTGTTTAAAAATTAATTGTTATTTAAGAGGAACCCGGATTTAGTTCTGTACCAGGGCCAAAAATATGATGTGGGGAGTCCTGCTTAGGTGCATCGGGAGCACTTTCTAAGGCCATCGCGATCTACGGCTCATAATAAAGATTATTTAAATGTATAGAATTTTTTTATTTTAAATTCATTATTAATGACTAATGAGCATTTATTGTCCGGCAACGTGGAAAATAAATTTGGGAACCTCTGCTATATAGTAATTGCAGTGCAGGTATAGCCA